GAGGTGCATAAATCGTGAGCTTCTGGACTACCTCGAACGTCACGGCTTGGTTAGGCAGTACGGTTTCTGGCACCAGCGATCCACAGAGGACATCCTAGCTTATGCAACGCAGTCGTGGAATAAACTAATCCTGTCTGATGGTGAGACTTATGTCGTTGCTGTTGATGTCACAAAAGGGTTCGATTAGCTGTGGCACGCTGCCCTCTTATGCAAACTTCGATCCTATGGCCTCCCAGAGAAGCCGACTGATCGATGAACCGTGTCGAACTTCGTACCTCTCAAACATGCCGATGCGGCCGCTCCTCTGTCCCGAGGGGAGATTGTGGAACAATCTACAAGAGGAGGCTTTTCCCAGTTCTACTAACCTTAGGAAGTTCAAAAATCGGATTAACAAAACTTATTTGGGATCCTCATAGCAGCTGCGGTGTCCTGGCATTTGTCTTTCTGGAAGCTTTCATTGTTCAGTGGGAAGCTTTGGCTCATCTATGAACCAAAAAAATAGAACTAGTGTCATTTTATGTTGGCTACAGTGGTTCGAGTAGTTGGTTAAATAGCGCATTGTAATGGTTCATTTTCTGCAAACCTTATATTCTATGTTGACCAAATCGTTTAAGAACTATAATTAACCTATTCATATGTGAATTTTTCTCTGACTTGATTGTTTGTTCAGTTTCTTGACAAATTCCTCTAAGGAATTTGATGTTTTATCAAAAACAGGGAAAAGATCGCCTAAATATCTAAACCATATCATCTGAAAATAATGAAAGATCTTTCAGCATTATTTTCGATGATTCATTAATAGTTCAGCCATTTATGGAAAGAGGTAGTTTCCCGTGGCTGTACCTACTTTTTGTTCAAAATATTCTTCATTGTACTGGAAAATATTTTTTTATCACTAGGGTTATCAATTCCGGTATGAGTTATTGAAGCTGAGGTAAGTACTGCATCAGAAGAAACCAGTATCTCATTATATTGTAGCTTAAGGTCATTGATTGTTTCCTATAAATTCGTATGAATATTTGACTGGCCGACTTTTCAATAGTAGTTTAAGTTTTTCGAACTGGCCTACCAAAAACTTCGATACACGATGTGTACGAGAACTCATAGCTGACACTATCAGTCTCATTGCTTTCCCAGGTTTAGGTAAATTTTTGGGAGGCAGTACAGCTTGGAGATACGGTTAGATTAGAAAATTGGAGTTTTCTTTTTAATGCTGAGGTAACTAGGCTATTTCAACAATTCAACGTTGTTTTTGATTGGTTAACCATTTTTGTCAGCGGATTTTTGGTAGGATCTTTCTTCAGTGGGCTTATCTCTATGGAAGTATAATTCCCCTTTCCTAAAATGACCACTTTGTTACCCTTGTCAGCTTTTAAGTTAAAGCAAACCTCCCACAAGCTTTCAATATTCTTTTTTGGGGGTTCCCTCTGGAGATGTTCTTACTTATGTCGTTTCTGACACCTTCACGAACAAATCCCTTGGAATACTCTGGGAGATATTGAATCGCCGATTGAACACCGAGTATGTATAATCTCGAGATCTACAGGTACAAAGTTTAAACCCTGACTTAGAGTATTTATGTCTTCTTTGGTAAATGCCGACGGAGACTGATTAATGTTGATTGTTTGTTGAGAAGGCGCTGTTTTTTTTTTCGACGGGTATCTAATTGAAAAGTGCATCTGCACGTCGTTATCACTTGAGGTAAAATATACTTCTGCCCCCTACGAATCTTATGATACACACATACACTTTCTTTCGCCGCGAGATCCCAGAGTTCGAATATATCGTACAAAGCAGAATGCGCTCAAAAGCAACATACATATATCATAAAGAAAATTGGCGGAACTTCAAAGTAAAATTGCATATCATGAATCACTTTTGTAGTTCAGGGAAATAAAAATATATAGATTTGTCCTTTTGTTAGTTAACTTTCAAGATAACAATGTCCAAAGTCAGCTGTATACTCGCAAAGCGATGAAGTGCTAAAAGTCATGATATTTCAAAAACATTTTACTTCCTACGCCACTGGCGAAAATTTTCGAAAATGAGATGTTATCTGTTTTGGGTGTTAAACGATATTTACATGAAGAAAAACCATGTCACTCATTTCCGTCGGTCTGTCTGCCTATCCGCTAATACTTGACCGATCTATAACTTGAAAGTTCGGCACAGGTATTACATATCTTGAAAAGTGACATTTTGACGGTTTCGTAGTGTTACTTAGCACAAGCTGTTGTACACTTGCTGTTAATTCGTTTTGTAGCTGTACGTGTTGCTTAAACGTCGGCGAACAGCGATCATAGCGAGCAAACGTGGAATGAACTATTTGCACGTTAAAAACTATCTAGTCTGCAAGATGACATTCCGATGTTTTTTTACGTTTTTTAGGTTTTTTACATAATACCCCTTCCGCACGGGTATTACGTATATTGAAAAATTACATTTCGTCGTTTATTTTACATTTCTTAGGTTGTTTAAGCTTTATAGTTTTTGTAAAATAGATCCACTGACGGCGAAGCTAGGGACAAAAAAGTGAAAAAAAAATGGAAATCACTCATACTTCGTTTTTTGACGTTTTAGAGGATCCATGTAATTTTTGAAAACAATTTAAGGGATACAAAATTTTGGTTTGAGGAAGGTGCATGTCAATTTTTTTAGCGAGAGGATGCGGTCAAAAGAAACACCAGCGCGTGACATTCAAATTTCTTTTTTGTTTCGATGTCTGTATCAAAATTCAGGTTTGAATTCAATATAACATGATAATTTTCATACGAAAATACGGCAAATAGTAGCGCAAAAGCTTTGTAGTTTTTAAAAATCGGTCCAGTGGCGACAGAGAAAATGGCCAAAAACGAAAAAGAATAAAAAATCGCTCAAACTTCGTTTTTTGCCGTGGCCGCGCCTGCATAGTGTTTCTTATGCTTTGACCGCGTGCCACGTCTGACCGAGTTAAGTATCGGGGAGAGGCTGTTACTTTCGAGTAATTTCTTCGAGATCTATATTCGAAACGAAGCTGCTTTTTCCAAAGTAGATATAACCACCTCTTGAATGTTCGTCCTATATATCTACTAACGTATTATTATATATTTACAGGATTTATCTATTAACTTATAATTCGCCACATAACTTATAATTACATAAAACTGTCAACAAAAAATCATAAGCTAATTATAAAAGAATTCTCTACCACGACAACGGCTACAATCCGATGCTGACTAATGTAAACATCGTAGTTCAAAAAATACTAAACGTCGTTCGGTATTATTTTTAGTAAATCCTGTAAAACATATATAAATTATATCAATATATTTTTAAAACGATATACTCCAGTCACCGAGTAGGTCCGATCATATTCGTCGTCAAAATTCGCCTTACGAACGAACACATTCGAATAAAATTATGGATATGATGATTTCAATAACTGTAATGATAAGATGTGAATAACAAGGAAAAATGGACTTAAGTAAGTTACTTCCATCACTGGCAAAGGAGGCTTCAAAATAATTCAGAAGTTTGAAACCGACCAGAAATAATTTTGTGTTTTTTGAAAACTCGCTGCCTATCTCTTGAGTAGACGTAAATATGGTGTCATCCAGTTTAAGAACAACTCATCTTTTTCGCCTTACTCGGTTGCTGATATAATACTTTCTGTTCTAGAACAGAATACAAACAAAATAAATAATCATATAAAACAGTGATATCAGCCTACATACATAAGTAGTAGAAACTTTGTTTCGTATTTCTCTTGTTGGTTTGTGACAAAAACTTCGAAAAATGTCCCTTCCTCTTATATCACACCGTGCCTAAAGACTGGGATCTCAAATAATGGACTAGCATACGGCGAGTTCGACAAAATCAAAGCTGAAAACGGTCTTCTGAAAAAGCTAGAAGAATCATGAACAGGAAAAGGACGAAGAAAAGAGAAACTCTGAACTTCACCAGGTTAACGAGGCTCTAAAGCCAAATATAAGAATCGTTAGAGGAATGTATGACAAACTCAAACAACTGCAGAAGAAATCAAAACTAAGGGAACGCGAACGTCGTATAAGCATGAAGGCTGTTAATCGTGCCTAAACTTAAGCTGCTGCAGTTCAAGATTGGTTTACTGAAATTCGTTAGATTTGATTTTCTCGCTTGGTTTAATATCATTCTTTCAAAAATATTTAGTGATGTGCATATATACTGTGGCATATATTTTCTGAAAAAATATGGTCTGTTTTTATAAAATAATGAATAATACAGAGACGCACCTGTATTACGTAATTTAAAAAGTAACATATCGATCGAATGACATTTTGTAGGTTTTTCAAAAAAAATCGCACCTTGGAACTGGCTGTCATTTTCATCATGTTCACTTGTACTAGCTGCACGTGTTGCCTAAAACACATAACACTTGAGCTATGTATATATAGTGGGCTTGAAGTACCACAGCAAGTGACTATAACCGGCCGCGTGGTTGTGGTTACATGTCTCCTTGAAAATTCGAGGGCTTTCAGCCATTTTATACTACATTGTGTAGGTTGGCTCTTGTTGTGAACTTCGTGTGTAGTTTTTTCTCTCTCCATCTTCGTTTCCTCAGGTTACACCCGTATCCGGATGTGTGGGCATGTGTATGTACTTTTGTGGTTTCATATGTGCATTCATTTCGGGCCTGATGAAGCCAACCAGCTTAAATACGTATCGCTCGGGTTACCTATCCTATTTTGTGCTCGAATCCACTTTCCTTCTTGTTGCGGATTTTGCGCATTATTTTCCTACATTTTGTTATATACCTTTCTCCGCATGATCATTTTCTCTTTATGATGGCTCTGATGTGATGTTACATCTGCTTCAGAGATGGCTCAAGCAGAAGCTATAGCTTCTATCAGTTAAGTTGTAAATTCTATACTATAGGTCGTATACAGTGTGCGTGGCGTGGACTAGCGACTAGCTATAGTAAGCAAGTTGACATTATACCGATGTTAATAAAATAAATATAACTTAAAATGCTCACAGATGTCGAATGACTCCACTGACGTTCCTCCTACCTCGGTTTATGTACTTTAAATGAGGCCACAAAGGTCAGCAAAGCTTTTTCTTCAGCATCTGTGGTTTTATTTAGCGGACGGGGAAACATGGAAATGTACCGGATAAGATGATAAAAAAGTAGCGTCAAGTAAGTTGAGTTTGTACTTCCCACACAACACTGTCATCATTTCGTAAAGAATTATGTTTGGCACAAATTAGCCTTTCTGAGAAAAAAAGTTAGCTACAAACATGTTTAACAAGAAACTAAATGACCTTCCTCCCCCCCCCCCTGAGATATGAGAAAAATTCCTCCAGGCGCGCATGAAATTTGCGATGGCCAATCCCGCGAGAATGTCGATATTGGCCTTCACCATGAACAGCGCACACAGCCCACAGCAGTACGGAAGCGATTGTAGACTGTGACGTACGCCGCTCGTCCACGGTGGACCACCCTTCCAAAAAAATTTCCAAAAACCGTCAGGAGCTTGTGGAACGTCAAGTTTGAGCAATTTTGATTTTCATTGTTTTTGTCCCACGTTCCGCCGCCACTGAACCGATTTTTCTAAAACTACAAAGCTTTTTTGTCCTTCACATCTCAGTATAGAACATTTTCGAGATTATATTTCCTCGCCAGTAGGCGTGAAAAGTACTATAAAAATACAACTTCATTCTGTAGCACTTTTCTGATATACTATGTATATAAAAAAGATATTGCACTTAAAACTTTATATTAGACACTACAACATTTTTTTAAATAACAATACAATAATGTTAGCAGTGGTCAAGTTATTGCATAACATAAGCAAATGGCCCCGGTGCGTCGACGTTTGCGTAAGCTCACAGAAATATGTTTTTAGTCGTGAACATTTTCTCGTCAATGTATGAAAATCTTTCACATTTGTTTATCATTGTCATTATGACAACTTGCCTGGCGTAATAGTGCGAGTTTACTGTTTGTTGATTGTCAATACAGAAAATTAAACAATGCGCAGCTACTATGTCGACAGTGTGCATTACATTTATTTAAGTATTTTGAAAAGTGAATGAAAACAACGAACGGTCTGCTATCATCCAACTAATGTTTATATGCAAGAGCGAGTAGCATCTGCACTAACGGGCGGCTGCAAAGATACGACTGACAACGCTGATTGGTCAAATAAATAATTTGAAGTTAGGAATCATGTGTTTCTTTTTTGACTAAACTAAATTGTGTAATACTTTGCGTAGGACCCTAAAAAATTTAAATAGATATAGGATAACCTACAGGTTTTGAGAATAACTTCTGTTTTCATAAACATACAAAATGCTACTGCGGAGAGTACCCGCGAAAACTGTGACTACTGAATAGATATCTACAGGTACTTTTTGTCATCAATAAGAATAAGTCAATTTAAAGACAGCGGGCGCTAAAGTTATTTTATCGCCTTAGGGCATAAAGAGTCCGTGGACTTAGAAGTAGGACTTTACCGTCCGGAAATGCTACATAGTATTTTGGTATGATATGTGACTATAATTTCGGATTGGATTTCTTCCACGATTTCACGCAAAATCAACTGGAGTAAGACGCTCCAATCTGATTCGCAGATATTTTCATTCACTGCTTTCGAATAAAATGTGTACGTTTTTCAATTTCAGTCATGTCCTTTCCAACCAAAGAGGAGCGCTCGAAGTGTTGGGGGGCCAGAGACAAATACTGGGAATGTCTGGACCATAATAAAGTGAATGAAAAAGATAGTGCATGTACAGAATTTAGGAAATTGTATGAACAATCCTGTTCTGCGCAGTGGGTGACGCATTTCGACAGGAGACGGAACTACCTCAAGTTTAAAGAGAAGATTGAAAAAGATGGGTATGAGCCGCTTGATGAGAAAAATTAAGCTTTTATAGTGTGTAGTGTAATTTTATAGTGAATAAACTTTTGAAGCAAGCCGTGATTTTCTTTGGCAAAGAGTATCAGCGCGGCAAATCTATTGAAGCTTGGTTTTGAGATAGAGAGTGATTTAATAATGCATTTGAATACGTCTATCAAATTCAACGAATTCGATTAGATCAGGAGCCAAGCCTATATGCTTACATCGCATTGTTTGTCGCCAAAATTGAGCATTTCAAGAACATATTGTTGACTCATTTTATTACCAAAGTGACAGCGTTATGTCAATATAATAATAATACTTACCGGCGGAATCATACCCTTATTAAGCTTATGTCACTTTTTGAAAATTATGTATCATGTCTTGAAATCGTCTAACACCACAAAATTCGCTCTTTTCGAAAATAACACAAAAAAAGACGAATTTAATCCCAGAACTGCCAAAAAATTGACCTATGTCAAGTGCACTTGTAGTATGCACTACAGACTATGAGAATTAGGAGACAAATCTTTGATTTTCTCCTTCTACAGGGTGCGGCAGAGAGGATGGACGGTTTTAAAAAAATCATAAAGTAGTTAATTTTTACTCGAAAACAAATTTATTGATGGAATCAGGTTCACAAGGAAATAGCATTTGAGACAGTCAAGTGTGGAAAATCACATCAGGCATGTGGTGGCCGAAATCGTTGATGCAGTGCTGGAGGCGTTCTTGGAAGTTCGCGTAGACTCTCTCCAACATCGCTCTCTCAACTTGGGCGACTTCCACGCGAATTTCGCCCTTCAATTCGTCGAGAGTTCGGGGCTTGTTCGCGTATACTCTAGCCTTGAGGCGTCCCCATAAGAAAAAATCGCATGCAGGGGGTAAAAGCGGAGATCCATATGCAACATTCGCCTTACCGAACGATCACTAAGGCGAAGTGCAGCAGCATGTTTCCGGGCAGATCGAGTCGGACTGCGAAGAAAGACCTGTCGAACGCGTTCAACATTTTCAGGAGTTCGAACTGTTCGCGGCGCTCCTCTTGGTCTTCTGTTGATCAGTTCACCACGCCTGCGAAGTGATTCAACCCAACGAGGGATGGTGTTTCGAGAGGGAACAGTCTATTCCGATGAATGTTGAAGTGGCGACGAAACTCACGCTGTACGACGATGACTGACTCATTATTTCGGACGAAATAATCATAGGCGAAAACGCGGTGCTCCATCGTCCAAGGCTCCATAACGACAACTGGTAAAATAATACTAGGATCTCACGAGTCAAACGGCATCCTCCCCACCTCTCTCGTAGACGGAGGCGGAGGGTACTACCCATCCCAAAAACGTCCGTCCTCTCTGCCGCACCCTGTACCTACTCTGAATTCGTTGGTCAGATCGAATACGGCTATCCAATCATTCTTAGGAAATTTTTGACTTTACATACACTATACTTCTTTGTTGGTAATATATGGACCCTAAACCTTATACTCAACAATTTTAAAACAATAAATCTTGTAAGAACCTGTCAGGTCTAGAAATTCTTACAATTAAAGTGAGAGCAATTGAGGTCTTGTTTGACAGAGCTTGTTAAGATCTAAATAATGCTTGGCTGTTGAGGTTTGTACGCTACACACGAGTAACTCTCATTTTGGAAAATCCTTGGACGTGAGGAGAAATGTTTCATCACATTTGAATTAGCTTGACTTGAGATGTTACAGAACCTTCAAACGTTAGGCACATGTTGCTTATCATCCGCCAGGCACATTAAACGTACTTCTGAAACATTTTGTCCATACAATAGTGACAAAAATGGAAGCGACCTTCAACATGTTGCTCGTCGTAATTTTGTCCCCGGTGCTTGTGCCGCAACATGTAGTACATTTCCATTTCTGTGCCGGCCACAAAGAAGTCACGAATGGAGAATCAACTGGATGCTTTATATATATATATATATATATATATATATATATTAATTTGATACATGTAAAGTACTGTAATATACAGAGTTTTCAAAGGTCAGGATACGGCAAATAGACTCAAAAACTATGAGTAAAAATTCTATCTAGATATGAGACTAGGATTTTTCCCCAACTATCTAACAGTGACCTTGAGTTTGACCTGGACATTCAAGGTCAAGTCCATTTTTTAAATGAGACCCAATGTGTTTGATCTCGGAAATGGATAGAGCGCAAAATTTTACATCCAGAAATTTGAACTTTGATAGTTATGATCGAATATCCAATCGATAAACTAACCTTGGAAACCGACATCTATATCATTTAAAATATGCGTAGACAGTCATAGCTTATGCTTGGGTAAATTTTCTTTCAGACTCGTGCCTTTCAAAATTAATTTATTGATTAGATGTTACACCTTGACCATGTCATTCAAAGTGCAAATTTTTTGCAGGCCAGTGACTCAACCGAACGTACAATTTTCGGTTCAATCCATTTCCTGTTTAAAATATAGGGTGCCATTGAAAAAATGAACTTTGAAATGACATGGTCAATGTCTTCAAGGTCACCTTCAGATAGCCAGGGAAAACCTAGGTCTATGGTTGGGCGGAATTTGCTTTAGATATTATTTTATTGATTGATTAGAGCCTGACGATGACCTTGAAAGGTATTTTTTTGTAAGTCAACGACTTATCTGATATAATAATAAAGTTCTCCGCTATGTCCATTTTATGTCAAAAATATAAGTCCTCATTTGAAAAATAGGCTTCACCTTAAAATGACCTTGAAGGTCAAACTCAAGGTAACCGCCAGATAGCCGTGGAAACATCCTATGCCTGTGTAGAATTTCTTTTGAACACCCTTTATATTCAACCCGAATACATATTTCCTGCAGTAAAAAATATAAATAAATATAAATGGGCACATCGAAACAACAAATAATCATGGAAACTCGTATATTTTGTTCAAAAACGTACTGTATCTGATTTTTCAATTGGTACGAATACCAGATTTGTTAAGCAAAAAATACTGTTTATTCTATAATGATATACAAAACCAAGCCGTAAAAGAAAGAAACACAATGTTTACACATATATAAACGTTATGGATTGGCAACAACACAAGGAGTGAGTACATTTCCCATATGGACAAAATGATCAGTAAGAAGAAAAATCAGTTTGCAGTTTTTGCATTTTTAGCGTGTAATAACATATCGGTACTTCTTCCAGCAAATCTTGGGTATCAGAAAATATGTTTTGTACATTTTGGACATATTGAATAGGACAATTCTCAACTTTCAGTAGGTCAGCCAAGAAAAAAGTAGGTATTTCGAAAAAAATGTTCTAAACCAGTTCATCGATTAAAAATCTGACCGTAACAGTCAGGACAATGACAGATAATAACCACAATTGAAAGGGGCTTATGAGGAAATATTTGTTTTTTTTTATACTCCAGACACCTCGAAGGCTTAAGGCTTAAACACCCATGGGGTACCGTGGGGCTATAGGGGGATAGAGGGGAAAGGGGGAACGCCACACAGACACTGGCGAGGGAACACATGTCCATGCAACATGCACACATTCTGGCCCCGCCTACGAGATCCGCCGGGTGGTACCCTTGTATGACCATATTCCAGATCTTTGTTCAAATTAGTTATGTCAAACTATCGCATATTTTCATTTGTTTTTACAGAATTCCAAGTAGACCGGAAAATGAAACATCTTTCAAGAAGCCTAGAAGGATCTACCAAAAGATACAGCGCCTATGACATTCCCACGGCAACGGTGTGCTTCTAATGTTCAAATAATCTGTGATAAATTTGTTATAGATTTGTTGCAACAAATAAAATTGTTTTCTAGTTATTTTTAAGGTTAATGTAAGACATGCAACTTGTCCTGTGGTTTTTATGCTGATAATCCCCCATGTTTCTCTGACCGCTAAATCAAACCAGATGTCTGGAATACTGTTTACTGTTGAGGCTGAAACATCGTCGATAGTAAACAGTATTTCAAACATAATTCAGACGCGTCCAGACAAACATGGAGAATCATTATTGCACAGGGTTTTGATTTAGGACATCTTGTACAAATAGCAGACATAGTATTACAGTCTTTTGGTAAATCTTTACATAATTTGGAGTAAGAATCGGCCGATATGTACATATGTATGTACAAAAAAACGTAGTGTTGTTCACATAACAGAGGAAATAAAAAGTACCTAGATCAACTCGGATGCCATTTTGATATCAAACAATAGCAGAGACCTACGAGTATGCTGGTTGATGACTAATTTGAATGATAGTGGAAGACGTTAACTAACTGTTCAGAGAAGCGCAAATACAAAAACTTACTAGCTGAGGAAAAGGAACAATTCTGAAAACTACGAACGAAGTGAAAAACAAAAACTTAGATGGATTAAATCTCAACCTAATTAGCATTTTTATAGAGGATATTCTTGAACTACTGGTTTATTTATTGGCTTAATTTTTACCATTTCTGTGCCGGCCACAAAGAAGTCACGAATGGAGAATCAACTGAATGCTTTATATATATATATATATATATATATATATATATATATATATATATATATTATAGTAGTATTAGTATTAGTATTACAGTCTTTTGCGGAGCAAACGCAATAATTTATAAACATAAATATTTATTCACAAATAATATAATTACTACATAAAAAACTAAATAAGTAAACATCATAATAGGGTAAAAAACCAATACTTGTATTATACAGAGAATAAAAAGCATAGTTTCAAAACTAAAGCTTTCTTACTTGGATTAATTGATTTACTCCTTTTATGTTTAGAATTGTAATTAAAGAGAAAGAATAAATATTTTATTATATTAGTTCAATATTCTACCTGTCAAAACTTGTAAATGGAATTCCGAAATTTGTGTGGGGATATACTGTTGAAAACAATTTTGTACATTTTACTCTTCTACTCACCCATTATTCTTTGAAATTTGCATTCTACGGATGGTCTATTTTGCGCTTTGATGATTGGTTGTACCAAAAACTATCTTTGGATCAATGTCAACACTACATACCCGAATAACCAAAGTTGTATGTATATCCTGAATAATTTGCATCCATTATGATACTTATATGATGCACAATTCTTGGTGCAAGATACTCTGGACCAAAAGTACTCGCCTATGTTCAATCGACTTAATACCTGGAAACGTAGAGTAAGTCCCATTCACATACGCAATTGAACAATTTTCGTGAAGATACTATTCAAAATGACACCACATAAAAGTACTTTATAGGACTTATTGGCACTATGAGGAAACAAATGCTTCTAATTTAGTAGTTCAAAAAACGACATTAACTTTGAGATGATATTGGAACATGAAAAGGTAATTTTAAACTCTAACTCAAGCCTTGTATAGTTGATCTTTACCCTCATTGATTGATATAATGTGTACTTAACAATAATTTTACTGCAAACATCAAGTTCACTCTGATATGCAATTTACACTCACGACTGTAACACTGCTGCCTTCCGTAACCCATTACAAAAAGAATGTATGACTGCAAAGTATTATCTTAAACTGTGAGGATTTTTGTGTTAATTTATTGAGTTCGAGTGAGAGAAAATTCGGATATGGGTAGAGACAATAGGAAACTGTCCCCAAAACATTTTAAGAACAAAAGAACCACAGAATGCATGATACAGACAAAGTCTGGAGTGTGTTCAAACCTGAGAGCCTGGACATTACTATGAGCAAACCTGTAGAGGTTATTAACATACCTTGTCAAAGTCTGATATGGAGAGTCTCATCATACTTTGATCAACAGAAACTAATACATTGTTGATTAGAAACACTGCAATCTTGCCAAAGTCTGAAGCTGGGAGATCCTGCTAGCCCTGTATCCTCCCAGTGCACCATACAATACAAATTCTTAAAAAGGAATTGTGAGGGTATGCAACCCTAAGCTATAACATGGCGCAGCCAGAGTAAAATGATGAAATTCAGCATTGAGTTATAACTAATAATTATGTTATCTATCCAAGTCAATGAGAGGCTTGGTGAAACAGTTTGAATTCCAAAATTATGATGGGTGATCATCGAGGCATTTCACCCTTGGCAGCTAAAGGCAACATGGTGGAGAACTGGAAGCTATGGAGGGCCAACTTTGAGAACTGTTTAAATGCATCTGAAGTTAACAAAAAAGACGAGAAAACGCAAGTAGCGCAATTACTTCATTATATCGGAGATAAAGGATTCAGAATGTTCACGAGCTTCAAGTTTGAGGATGATAAACACAATCTGGAACCTGTCCTAAATAAATTCGATGAGCATTTCCTGGGAAAAGGAAATTTGGTCTATGAACAATACAAATGCAGATGAAATGGAAGTAATGGAACAATTAAAGACCAATGGTTTATGGTTACCACATATAATTGTAGGTAAAATTGAATATTAGTCAGAAATGGGAAGCTCGTCAAAGTTCACCTTCACAAGAAATTCAAAATTACTCATTTTTTGTTGCCTCAAAGAGAGGATGAACAGATTAAATGTTTCTTAAAGTTAGAAGGTGAATATGGGGAAAGTGCAGAAAGACATAGTGATAGTCACCTACAGGATGGTGACAGTAGTAGTGATGAATATAATATTTCACCCGGTAGTCATAATTCGGATGAAACTGTCAATGTTGATAATGACTTTGAGCTAGACTCAGACGAGGCCTTTGCATTAAAAAAATATATGTTATCTGGAATAAGTAAACCTGCATTCACACATTTATAATTTGAGTTAGTAATAGCTATATTGTTAGTTATAAAATTTTATTTTATGGTATAAATAACAAAAATTAAATAAAAATATAATTTGATACGTGTATAAATCTTATTTAGGAGCATATGATGTTATTTTGTATAAATAGTTAACATTTGGATTTCACATAAAATTATACATGTAATAAAAACAAAAATATTCATTTTGATTGATCTACAGCCACACAGAACCAAAATTGGGGTTTACATAATAAAAGCAGGAGAAATATTATCGGGCCATCCTACTCACAGATATTATAGTGGTTGCAAGATAACAGTAACGTAAAAATGGGAAGCCCTTCCAAACACTTACTAGACATGTTCAATAAATTTCAATTTCTACATCACATCTAAAGCATCAATGTTTTTATTTAAAGGGCTATATAATGTTGAACTATAACCATTGTTCATTTCAATGTGTATGCTCACAATATGTTTTCCAGGAATCATGACTAGACCCAACATTCTAGGTTCTTCATTTGCTGGCTTTCCATTGATACTGTGTGGTAGATATTCTGAGCATGAACCCAAAATAATATTGGCATCCCTATCAGTACAGAGAAACACTCCAATTAATACTCTACCATCAGTCATCTCAATACGAAATGACTTATTCAACCAAGTGCGTAACTTTACTGCACCAGGTGATGTCTGCAAGAAAAAATTTCTTAAATAATATTTCAATCTGATGACATCAACATATCTTACATTCAATGGTTTGTTGAGCCTCTCCACGGGTTCTGGATTGTAATTGTATTCTGATACATCTTCAGATTCTGCCTGAGGTGTTTCCACTTCAGCGCTTGTACTGGGCGCTTCTTTCATGGCCATAGATTCGTGGTTGATATAAAAATATTATACATGTAACTAGTAAATGTTACTGAATAAGTTCCATTTTATCAAGAATTTCTATATTGATCAGAAAACTATTGATCCTTTTTGTTTACTTTCTTTATAATTATATAACCTTTATTTAACACTCATACCCCATAACCCCTTTCCAGAAACTACTTTGACTTTTGATTTTGATTGGTTTGACCACAGAACGGTTCAACACACAAGTTTTTGACAGCACAGCTCTACAAAAGTTACATGATACTCGGTGGACATGGATGAAACATCCACAACAACCACCACCACCACCACCACCACCACGCATCGTTAATAGAATTGGACTGCTGGTTTAGAAATGTGAACTGGAAGAGTCAGGGCCGTAATGCTGAAATCAGGTTGTCGCATCAAATATCGACGGGAAACGGCAATACCATACAACCTCATGTAAAGAATATTATTTTTTATTGAATGTACCTGCGATACACTAATTTCATGACACATAATGGTAAAAGAGTCATGTGACAAACTTCAGTTCAGTAAATGTAAAATTGTGAATAAAACAAAAAGATTTAATCTAGTGGCAAATTTATATTTCGGATGCAAAGTGGGCTGTGACGATAATATAGGTATCCAAAATGAAGGGATGAGAATTGACTCATGAAAGCAATGTAGCGTCGCGAAGTCACGATGGATCAAACAGTCAGTAGTCTCCTTGTTTTTGCCGGAGAAATCGGCATGAAGCATTTTACTAAGGGTTAGCGGAAATTCCAGTGGCGGCATTAAGAGAATATTTAAGACATTGCGTCATTGCTTCTGCTTTTATGCATCACAAATAAATTTAACATTGCTTCTATATTCCCCTAGTTTCTAGAAAAAAAGACAAAAGTGCAATATTGTCTTGACTAGAGAAGGCTTTTGATGAATAATTCTGATTACCGGCCATTAGTTAAAAATAACATTATGACTTTTCTAATACGTACAGGTATAGGTAATTTTAAGAAAATTTGCGATTTGCATAATGCTCAACAATATTATACAAAGTGGGACGCTTAAAAGACGTAAGGAACTACAAATCACCGGTATCCGTATACCTACCACCAGTAATCTTATCACTTGTTACTTGACCTAGGAAAAGATAGATGTGTGTAGATAATACCTGATGACATCCGGAAACAGATATTATTATAGAGAGATTTGTCCATTCTGCAAACAGTCCCTGCATTAAGGGATCAGGATAATTAAAAGAGTTGTATCAATCCAGCGATTCGGTATACTACTGTAAGCTAAATCACATGTTATAGTATTGTTAACAATGCACGTGTATTTTTCGAGTAATTGCAACATCATAGAGGATTGTAGATATTGAAGCTACAATATTGTGATCTCAAGTTCTTCAGATTTTCTAAGGACGAATCAAGTTCTAATAAAATGCATCATCCTGGCATTTTCTTCTATTTAACTGAACGGTGGCGATGAATCACCATGTTGCAACAGCTCCAAATTCTATTAAGACTTAATTGTAACTTCTAAAAAATAACGCCATAGTTAAGATTGCCCAGTCGGATGATAATGAGATAAACCCTTTTCGCACCGGACTTTGGTCACACCACGATTAGACTAAGTAAAAGAGTTAAAGCCCAATTCCAAACTTTGACCAACAACGTCTGCCATTCCGGGATCTGACTGGTCAGAAGTTTGACCACACATTGATATTCGACTACAACTTGTCTATAATATCATCAAATTAATAGTAAGACCGCTAATAAAATGGGTTTTTCAAATTCGACACTCACCATTGAGATATTGGAAACTATAAGATATAGGAAGTCGTTTAAATGGGAGCAAAGTTGCGTATTAAGGTAATCAACAAACTGCTGCTTAGGAAGTTTCCAAATTTAAAATACTTCCGGAGAGAGAATTTTCTCAGAATCGTTTTAATGTTTTTCTGACTTTATTTGTAGTAGATTTTCAACATAAATTGCACATTAGCATTGTCACTTTTTTTCCTCTACAAGAAAGCATAATTACAATTTGAGTACGACATTTCGTATTGGATTTTTGCGCAGATGAATAGAGTTTAGTTATTTAAAAAATCAGAATTTCCTAAGTAGGCATTGAAATTATCAGATTGTCATTCGTTTCGAATACCAGATTTATCCCAAAATCACTCTTATTTTTTCCTGGCCTGATTTGAGATGGAATTTCAAAGTAAATTCCATGTGGTCTCGGTTGCTTATTCTCCTCTACAAGATGGCGCGGTCAAATCGTCACTTTGACATTTCTTCTTTCCATCAGCAACTTTGTTGTTTCATATGGAAGCTATATTGAAATTTTGTACATTTAACAGGAATTCAGTCGTAAATTCAGTGATGTATTTCATTAGTTGGCCATGAATTTGTTGTTTGATGGAAATTATAAGGAAATAAAAAGGTACGGTGAAACCAGAACACAAAATGAAAATTTTATTGATTGTAATAACAATTATAATCATAAATAAGCCGAGGTAAATCATAGCAGAAGTTGACATGTTGTCCGTTATTTTGAACGCAAAGCCTGACTTTTCTCTGTACATTGCTCACTGCTCGTTTTATTTCTCCTCTTCTCAGTCTTCCAAACCCTGTTACTATATCCATTTTGAGGTCCGATCTGGTATACAAAATCTTATAATTTCAAAGCCTACCTAGAAACATCTGTTTTCCTGAAATAACTAAGGTTTGGCAATGTCAATATATCTACATTTTTGAAAACTCTATTTATCTAGACAAAAATCCAATATTGCGTCCATAGGAAAAATAAAGTCTCACTACGGAAGTAATTTAGATTTCGAAACTTTCTAAGCGGCATTTTCTTGATTAACTACCTCAATACGCAATTTTGGCCCCTATTTGAGCGACTTCATTTCTCTTACAATTTCCGAGATCTCAATGATGAGGGTCGAATGTGAAACACCCTGTATATTATATACATATATAAGCTTGAACTTTCATGTTTTGGTTTTAGTACGTCTATAGCAGCATTATTAAGGCATTTTTGTCAATATATTTCAGCTTCATCAAAAGCCCTGTATAGAAAGCATGTATAATTTCATAACATGTAGTATTTCTCAATTACAAAATTACTTGCAATAATTTATTGTTAATTGGTCACCCTATATTTAATGGCAGTTAAACGAATTCAGATTTCATCCGGCAACATGGCCATGGCTTTGGTGTTCCGTGCGAAGCGCGCGTGCGCGTTGCGATTGGAATGCGGCTGTTGCTTCTTTCAGTTCTTTCTTCCCGTTCCCGCCATTTGCCATTTCGGTTCCATTTGCTTGGGGAAGAGCCACGTGTAGGTAAGTGAATTTCAACTTTATATTGCAGCAATCTTTACATATTTCATTATAATTTTACTATTAATCGTGCTAGCTTTTCGCGCTCTATTCTCTGATATATCTTTAATTGTGATTGTAGCTGTCCTTTGCAGATTTTTGTACGCATAACCTAGCTTTGCGCCCCCGCGGTAGGGGCTTGTGTTCTGTCTATCGTTGCATTGTTTTATACCGCTTGTGACTAGATCGAACACTCGCCTTTAACGTGGGGTTGTTCAACAGTTGCTTCTACTTATACGGCTTGAGCCTTTGTTCTCAAAGTTTGCAGAAAGAGGGTGGGGGCCCTTTTGTCTTGTATATTGTTCTTTGGTGATCTAGTTGTATGAGTATGTTCGACTTCATAAAGCTGGTTCAGCAAAGCACAATGTATTTGACTCTCCTTCGAGGGATCTTGCGAAGAGGATTTCAACTGCCGGAGCTTCTGTCCCATTTGAGGGTCACTGAGGGAATCTGGTTTGAAGGAACTCCTGGTGTGATATGTAGCTTTATATCATATCACAGCCAGTAGTTACCTACGAAATGGGTTCCTTTTGTCAACGCGAGACGCGACATTTAGTTTCTAAGTTTGAACTCTAACATGAGGGTTAAGTAAACAAATAATATATTTTGCAGGGTTCTAACAAAGGATCAGGGTTTTTGACTCAAATTTCAAGTTAATCGTATCGTAGTTTTGAATTTAAATATTCGAAACTTTTATCGTTCTCTTTTTTCTTTTTGTACCTATTTGATTGTTTTTAAGAGCCTAAAGTTCACAATTATGGACTTTTTTTCTGCATTCACCCATTTTTGAATATGGAACTTTGTATTTTTATATGCATGAGTGCATGGGTTATAACACTCTTTACTGTAAATCGATATAAAACTCGCTAAGATACAAAACACCTATGTGTGTTGTTCCATTGCTGATGCATTAGAAACAAGTCGGAACAAATCTGAGCAGTTCCTTTTATATGTGTCTCAAGTGCGTTTTTATAGCTTTGAAGTACAAAGTATTATGATCTGTGCTGATATGAAAATAAACAATAAATATTCGAGAATTTGGGCTTTTAAAAATCAAGTACTAAAATAGATGTGGATATTGCGTGGAAATACAAAACTTGCAAAAATTAGGCTTTCAAAAATCAAGTACTAAAATAAAGGTGAGGTTATAGAATGAAAATACATATGTTTAAAACATTTGCAGGGTCAAAAACCCTGCTTATATGTTCCTTTGATCACACTTGAGTATTTATACATTCCATTTTAATCATTTAAATAAGTTTTTCATTGAAATAATTTTTTTACATTGTCTTAAAGTGTAAGTGTTGAGGTATTATAATCAAAGTTTCTGATTTTGTGAAATAGTTTTTTTTTGTTTCTGGCTCATGTAAACTTATTTTAGTGCCTTATTTTCATAATATGTGTTGAGGTATTATAATCAAAGTTTCTGATTTTGTGAAATAGTTTTTTGTTTCTGGCTCATGTAAACTTATTTTAGTTAATAGTGCCTTATTTTCATAATATTGTTTTGATTATTTAGTATAAACAAAGTATGGTCAAAAGTATTACACACAGTTTTTTTTTACAATGAACTGCAAAATCAGTTTGTTGTTTGACAGTTTTTAGGGGATTATGAGTAAGACATAGATTAATCAATATTTTATGAGACTAAACGACTGGATTTTAAATAAAATTGATTTCATTTGTGAGAAAGTAAGGAACTTTGTCTTATAGAAAAGTGGTAAACATTGGTTTTTATCTTTATCAACAAATGTAGTTTTTTTGTCATGCAAAAAAAAATTCAGGCTGATGTTAAATAGCAATTCACAGAGTCTTGCTTGGTCTCATAGTTTAGCAGTGCCACTGTTACTGACATTCTAATTTTCAGAACTTTTACTTCGGTATAAAAGTATATAAATTTGCTGAAATTACCAGTTAGCACTGTAAACATTAAT